TATTTCGAACTTATCGAAATAGTAACACATTGTCATTCGATCGAGGTCGAACTCTTCCTTCTGACGAAGGCCCTTGGCTTTAAAGGGTGTTATTTCGAACTTATCGAAATAGTAACCTGCCATCGTTCGATCGAGGTCGAACCCTTCTTTTTGGCGAAGTCCCTTGGCCTTAAAGGGTGTTATTTCGAACTTATCAAAATAGTAATCTGTCGTCGTTCGATCGAGGTCGAAGTCTTCTCTTTGGGGAAGGCCCTTGGCCTTTAAAGGGTGTTATTTCTAACTTATCTAAATAGTAACCCATCGTCGTTAATCGAGGTCGAACTCTTCTTTTTGGCGAAGGTCCTTGGCCTTAAAGGGTGTTATTTCAAACTTATCAAGATAGTAATCTGTCGTCGTTCGATCGAGGTCGAACTCTTCTTTTTGGTGAAGGCCCTTGGCCTTAAAGGATGTTATTTCGAACTTATCGAAATAATAACCCGTCGTCATTCGATTGAGGTCGAACCCTTCCTTTTGGCGAAGGCCCTTGACCTAAAAGGGTGTTATGTCTAATTTATTAAAATAGTAACCCGTCGTCGTTCGATCGAGGTCAAACCCTTCTTTTTGGCGAAGGTCCTTGGCCTTAAAGGGTGTTATTTCGAACTTATCAAAATAGTAACTCGTCGTCGTTAGATCGAGGTCGAACCCTTCTCTTTGGCGAAGGTCATTGGCCTTTAAAGGGCGTTATTTCGAACTTATCGAAATAGTAACTCGTCCTTGTTCGATCGAGGTCGAACTCTTCGTTTTGGCGAAGTCCTTTGGCCTTAAAGGGTGTTATTTCAAACTTATCAAAATAGTAACCCGTCGTCGTTCGATCAAGGTCCAACTCTTCTCTTTGGCGAAGGCCCTTGGCCTTTAAAGGGTGTTATTTCGAACTTATCGAAATAGTAACCCGTCGCCGTTTGATCGAGGTCGAAATCTTCTTTTTGGCAAAGGCCCTTGGCCTTAAAGGGTGTTATTTCGAACTTATCAAAATAATAACCCGTCGTTGTTCGATCGAGGTCGAACTCTTCTTTTTGGTGAAGGCCATTGGCCTTAAAGGGCGTTATTTCGAACTTATCAAAATAATAACCCGTCGTTGTTCGATCGAGGTCGAACTCTTCTCTTTGGCGAAGGACCTTGGCCTTTAAATGGTGTTATTTCGAACTTATAGAAACAATAACCCGTCGTCATTAGATCGAGATCGAACCCTTCTTTTTGGCGAAGGCGCTTGGCCTTAAAGGGTGTTATTTCGAACTTATCGAAATAGTAACCCGTCATCGTTCGATCGAGGTCGAACCCTTCTTTTTGGCGAAGGCGCTTGGCCTTAAAGGGTGTTATTTCGAACTTATCGAAATAGTAACCCATAGTCGTTCGATCGAGGTCAAACTCTTCTCTTTGGCGAAGGCCCTTGGCCTTTAAAGGGTATTATTTCGAACTTATCAAAATAGTAACCCGTCGTCGTTCGATTGAGGTCGAACTCTTCTTTTTGGCGAAGGCTCTTGGCCTTAAAGGGTGTTATTTCGAACTTATCGAAATAGTAACCCGTCGTCGTTCGATTGAGGTCGAACTCTTCTTTTTGGCGAAGGCTCTTGGCCTTAAAGGGTGTTATTTCGAACTTATCGAAATAATAAACCGTCGTCATTCGATCGAGGTCGAACTCTTCTCTTTAGCGAAGGCCCCTGGCCTTTAAAGAGTGTTATTTTGAACTTATCGAAATAGTAACCCGTCGTCATTCGATCAAGGTCGAACCCTTCTTTTTGGTGAAGGTCCTTGGCCTTAAAGGGTGTTATTTCAAACGTATCAAAATAGTAACCTGTCATCGTTTGATCGAGGTCCAACTCTTCTTTTTGGTGAAGGCCCTTGGCCTTAAAGGATGTTATTTCGAACTTATCAAAATAGTAACCCATCGTCAGTCCTAGTTTTTGGAGAATCAAACATCTTCTTGGGGAGTCCCAGTTCATTTGACATTGTTTGCATCGGAGGGTACAATGTTGGAGAGTACGACACATTGTTGTTTCGCTTAGGTTCGTTCTGCGCACACATTGTAGTTTCCTTGTCTGACTCCTGCCTTCTGGCTTGGAGGTGTTACCGTCGGGTGGTATTTCGGTTGTTTGTAGTAGTTTCTCGTTCTCTAATTAAGATGTTTTTTTGTTCGCTCGCCCGCGCGGAATTTGTGTTCCTGCTTGAGCAAAGAGGATAAGGTGAGTTAAAGTGATACTTCCCTTACCCTCATCTGGTGGTCCGATGAAGGAGAGCAGGTTTGTAATGTTGTTAGTTTTGTTTGTCATTTCAATGGTTGATGAGGCGCGGATTTCTAAATTTGGTGACTCTACTCGGCTCTCCTTCCCCTACTGTGTTACGCCTTTGTCCCGCGTGGATTGGGTTTTGCCTTAGCGCTTTTTTCGGTGGGCAATCGTATTTCTTGTCTTTGATCTGGGAGAGACTAGGAAATTTCACTAAGAAATCCCCACAGGCGGCGCTAAATTGTTTGACTCAAAAGATATCGGAACCTTTTTGAATAAATCAATCAAAGAAAATAAATGGGTAAATCTTAATCAGACATAATAAATCCCAGATCAAAGAGCTAATAGTATAGATAGTATATAGGATGAAAGAGATACAATCGATCTTATTGAAATTCAATATTGTGGCTCTCATCAATCGATGATGGATATAGCTTTACATGTTCTTCTGCAGATTGCTTCTTTACTATGAAGATTACAAGAAGAGAGCTTGGGAGAGAGAAAAGGAAGGAGACCGCCCCTTATCGAGGGTTTTCCCCTACTATATATAGTCAAGGCGTCTTTGCCATTTGCTTGGTCCGACGCTCTCTCGCACCAAGTGTGCCTTGGTCGTTCTTTTAGACGTTGATCCTTCCGACTCGCCGGATGTCAAGAATGGGATGTAGAGTGGACTATGTTATCTTTTATTGCCCTGTAACTTGGGCGGGACATTGGTCAGCTCGGCCGTGACGGTCAGATTTTGACCAATACAGTGTCCGTCTTCAAAAATTTTTATTTTATACATTGATGAATATCCCTGCATTTCTCAAAGGTAATCATACACTTGTAAATTCTCGAAATAGATATTTCAAAATCACTCAAACTGTTATGAATAAAATTGTAATTAGAGTGAGTTTCTATATTATAGAGAGTTTTACTTTGTGGCAAGGTCATTTTTCCCATATAAATAGAGGGGTCTTACCCCATTGTAAATCATCCCAAAAATTCAATAAGAATTACTCTCTCTTTCTCTGCAATATTGTTCTTCTACTTTTATTATTTTATTACACGTTATCAGCACGAGACTCTACCGTCTCAAAAAGATTTTTGAGAAGACTAAGCAAATATGGATATCCCACAAAGAAAACTTGGATCAAAGTTTAATTGTAAAAATATTTGTTTAGTTGACTCATGTATAACACATATAATATTCAAAGAGAAGAAATATTTTATGGCAATAACTGCAGTCCTGATCTTGTTAGTTATGCTGATGCTGGGTATTTATCTGACCCACACAAGGCTCAATCTCAAATAAGTTATGTGTTTACCTGTGGAGGCACTGCCATATATTGGCGATCGACTAAGCAATCAATTGTGGCTACTTCATCTAATCATGTTGAGATAATTGTTATGCATGAAGCAAGTCGAGAATGTGTGTGGTTGAGGTCTATAATACATCTTATTCGAGACAAATGTGGTTTGAAATGTGACAAACTACCCATGATTTTGTACGAAGACAATGCAGCATGCATAGCCCAATTGAAGGGAGGATTCATAAAAGGAGATAGGGCAAAACACATTTCACCAAAGCTATTTTTCACACATGATCTTCAAAAGAATGGTAATATTAATGTGCAACAGATTCGTTCAAGTAATAATATGACTGATTTATTCACAAAATCTCTACCAACGTCAACCTTCAAGAAGTTAGTACACAAGATTGGGATGCGAAGGCTCAAGGATGTGAAATAATGCTCTCATCAGGGGGAGTTGATACGCGTTGTACTCTTTTTTCCTTACAAGGTTTGTCCCATTGAGTTTTCCTTGCAAGGTTTTTAACGAGGCAACCAAAAGGCGTATTGTTAGATATGTGTACTCTTTTTCCTTTTCTAGAATTTTTTTTCCCATTGGGTTTTATTTTAGTTAAGGTTTTAACGAGGCACATTACTTATTGAGTAGACATTCAAGGGGAGTGTTATGAATAGAATTGTAATTAGAGTGAATGTCTATATTGTAGAGAGTTTTACTTTGTGGCTAGACAATTTTTTCCCTATAAATAGAGGGGTCTTACCCCATTGTAAATTATCCCAAAATTCAATAAGAATTACTCTCTCTGTCTCTGCAATATTGTTCTTCTTCTTTTATTGTTTTTATCACACAAACAAAATTAATTTTACGATTTTAAACCTTAAATTGATCCTTTATTACTAACCTAATAATACATGTTGAATATGAAGTTACTTCAAAAGAAATTGTAATTCTTAAATTCATCCGTTTACTCCAAACAAACAAAAAACTATTAGTGTATTATTCTTTTTATAGTTCTGCTTTTCTTTTGGTCAAATCTTTGAGACGTTTATATTTGTTTGAATTCTACAAAAACTAGTTTTTGAAAGTTGCATATTTTCCAAAAACAAATTTGTAAAGAAGTCTGTGTTTGGACTAGTTTTGATTAAGGTTTTGGAAAAGCTACTCACGTATTCATGTTTTGAATAAATAAAAAATTAGTATGATCTTTATATCATATGCTTTCTAGATTATATTTTACATCTTCACCTACATAATCTTAATCTTGAAGCTCAGTCTTTTCTTTAACTTTTTTCTATTATGTGGGGTAAAGAAATCTGAGAGGAAGGGAGACAGTGAGAATTGAACTCACACTTATTGTGTGAAAGGTTTCAACAATTCCACTATGGTGGAACTCAATCTTCGGCAACTGAGCTCATTCTATATCAAAGGCAAATAAGAGAAATAAAGAGAACATATCAACCAAATTGGACTTAATCACAAAATGGGACAATAGTGGAGACAGTTGCATGCATTATCCATGACCTCTGTGTATCAGAGTCTTGTATGGCTCCGTTTTGTTTGCCTCCTAATATCATTGACTGATACAAGTACTAACACACAATATCACATAGCCAGTTTGACAACGAATGTTCTTTATCCACATGCTTGAGTTTCAAAGTTTAGCAGCAAAGTACCATTATCTTTTCTTTAGAGCTCATTCAGGTGGTCAAAGTTTTCTTCTTTCAGAATTCATTTACTCTTAGGCTACGGTCCTCAAATCGGCATCCGTTTACCCATGTTAACCCTGTTACGGGGAAAGAACTGCACAACACAAAGGAAACAGTTTTTAGCTTCAATCCAGAAAATGCTTTGCCTAATAATGAACATGCTAAGCTTTGCTTCTAACAAGTCAACAGATATAGAAAAGATTCTTCAACACACTAATATATGTATATAACACAGTTGGAAGCTACAAACTATAATGGGCGTGATTGTACAAAAACCGGTCAACAAAAACTTCTCTACACTATAAATTTATGAACTATCCAGAAATGAATTTCAGGAATCCAACAAAGAGACAAAATTCCTTAGGCGTAACCGGTTGACAACCATAACGTAAGATTTTCTTTATTGACAATCTGAAAACTATTTTGTCTGAAGCATATTGCACATATAACTTTTAATGCTACTAGAGAAGATACATATACAACATAGTGACATACCAAAAACACAGATGATTGGCGAAAGATTCCACCAACGATAGGTAACTTCCTCAGAAAAACAGCAACAGTGGGCCAAAAGCCACTGCATTACATAGTATGCCTTATTAGCCAACACTGTTTATTCTTGGTGAGACACAAGGATGCAAGAAAAAGGGTTACCTAAACAGCACAAGAAGACCGCAGGTCTCCCAAATCATGCCTAGCACAGGCCATCCCAGCATAATAAGCACGAAACCAACAGCAAAGGAGGCAGAACCCTATCAGATAATTAAAGCTTTGGCATATGAAAATGGAGATGCAAAGGAAAAAAAGGCAATAGCAAAGACATAGATGAAGCAGGACATGGAGGGTCCGTGAACTTGGAACCTTAAAATTTTGTCGTTTTATGAAAATTTGTAAGGTAGACATCACTCCAATGGTTAAGGTCACCCCAGACAGAAGGAGGATCTGATCGCACAAAAAGTTCCATCAAAGATGATACAAAGTACAAACATATTAAAGGGCACAAGCACAAAGCATTAGAGGATGAACAACAAAATAGTGGTCAGATTGTCAATAAAGAAAATCTTACATTCCCAATGGCAACGAAGCTCCTCTCAAAGAAGAGAAACACTCCAAGCAGAGTAAACATTACACCAAATCCAATCAATCCAAGCCCAATCTCTGTCACATGTCAGAGAAAGTAAGAACTTGAGACAACAAATAAGGCAACATTATGACAGCATATTAAACCAACCACGAAACCACCATAAGCTTCAGTTTGCTTCAGAACAGTGAGGGGGTTGTTTAAAAATATGGTTTGTAAAAGCATATTCAACAAAAGATACAAGACTTCTCTTCGAAATTGATAGAGATTTTGCACAGTGCAATATATATGTTAATTTCTTGATAAGATTCCACAATAGAATATGACGATAGTAGAGCACCACATGATCCTATGTCTTTATCACCTTTAATCAATATCAGTTTTTGACAATTATGCTTTACTTTTGAGAGATAACATCTAACCTAGCATATACAAGGAAAGAAATTTATAAAATTAGTTCAAATTGTGCATTCCACAAATGAAAATTCTGATAAGTTTACGTGGTGAACTAAAGAACTGATAGAACTATATACTATACTTCAACAGCGTAGTTTACTACTTTTTCTTGGATCAAAGTACATCATTAGTAATACCCATGCTATAGCTTTCTGGAGCCATTTTACAATCTCAGGTCTCAGATGAGATTGAAGGTTTTGATTTCCCATGGTTGAGAAACTATGTATTTGGAACAAGCATGTCAAAATCACTAGGAACGTAAACTTTTTTACAGGTGTCCTGAAAAATATATGCCGTTCAACTTTCAAATGTCCAGAAAAGAGCCAACTAATTCTCTTGGTGTTCTGCAGCAAAACTGAATGACTAGAGAGCAATAAATATACCTTCGTGTAAGTTCAAAGTCAAATGAATAAAAGAAGCAAGATCAAATAAAACGTACTGGAGATGCTTTAGGATTCAAACTACTTGCAAATTTTAAGATAGAAACTGAATTCACTATGTAAGAAATAGACGTCATTTGCTGCTGATGAGTGAAATTGTTATTAGACAGAGACTGATTACTGCCAATATTGAGGGTACTTCCAAAAATTGTTCAAACTCACCTTTAAGGCATCCTATTCCCCGTTTTGGCTTTCTTTTGGAATCGTCTTCATCTAAAGAAGATTTCCTTCCTTGTTCTTCCCTCCTCCTGTGATCTTGACCTTCTAAGTGATTTCCGAAAGCTCCCATTATGACTATTACCCAACAGAAAATAAGATCTTTAGTTTCGGCCCACTGGGATGGGGGTAGGAAAAAGAGAGATCATATAATATTTCTGAAGAAAGTCATCTTAAATCTGACTAAATATTAAGTACTACCTACATACATACTATGATGCTGAAATTTAATAAGATAATTAAACAGAAACAAATAATTACACCAAAATCTCGAATATATACAACTTAAGTTTTCTTCCTGGAGAAGTCAAAGTAAAATATTTGATCTGCAAAATAACATTTTTTAACATTTCATGCAAAATGAAGAAAGAAATAAAAAGAAACCCATCAAGTTCAAGCCTGCACCGACCAGCATCATGGTGAATTTGTAAAGCAGTAACAAAACTCAAAGTGCGTCGATAATGAGATTCGATATCATAGAGCTGCCATAACAGACATAACAGAACCAGGCAACAAGCAGTTGATTTTTTCAATACTACATCACATGGTGCAGACAAAGAAAAGCAAAGACGGACTCTATCAATTCTAAAATATAAGCAGACAAGTTTGTACAGAATTCTTTGATTAAGACGATAGACTAGAAAATAATAACAACTAATGATCTATTACATTGATAATCCAAAACTTTTAATATGTATAAAAACAAAAATTATACTACAGTGTATGTGAATCAGAACACTCCATGTGGTACTTTGACCATATGGAAGAACTATTTCAAAAGCATCATTTCTGGATTTACAGAAAATAAGAGATCAAAGATAATGAGGATAGAAAGGCGGAGTATGCACTCACTCTTAACATCAGTTTCTTCAAATGAAACCATCCTGTTAACCAGAACTTGAAACTTCAACTACCAAATAACCTGACAATAAAAACACAAATATACATGATGGAACAGACGGTTGCATTAGTACTCATCTCTTCAGTGGCATCGTAATTTTTGCAAACTCAAAACAAACATAATTAAGAAGGATAAATATTCAATACTGCACCGAATCACTTCCACTAACAAATACTCCTACTCACTGCTAGATAGATCATAGATGAAAAAGCCTGATATGATTTTAAAGTTCAAAGCCTAAAATAACTGAAATATAAGGAGCCACGAAGTTAGAGGCTCTACAGCCATTGCTACTGCGCTAATTTCTTAACTAACGAATTGCAAATGCAATAAAGCTCATAAAATTTCCTATATACAACGCTGTCAATCATTCAAGTAGTTGCGAGTAAGAGAATTGTCGTACTTCAGCAATAGCGCGATCATACGAACCACATTATCAATCCGAATAACCGAAAATGAGTCAGACGCTAGAAAAAAAACAAAATCTCTACAATCAACGAATAGTAAATTGACAAAAAAAATCACGAGAAATTGAAGCTTATCTTACGAGAATTGACGAATTTCACCGAAATACCATTACGCATAAGTATTGTTTGTATGTAAACATCAATAATCTATAGAATAGGCCGTGAATGCATGAATGTTTATACGATTTGTGAAATGCAAAATCGATAAACAGAGAGGGGAAGAAGAGAGAGCATGGAGTGTTTACCTGTATGTCAGAGAGAAGAGCTTCAACAGAAAAGGCGCGGTTGGCATTTCTGTTTTCAATTAGCTAAGTATATATGAAGCCTATCCGACGTGGATATAGGTTTATTTCCATTGATGCATTTAAAATGGTTTGATCGTATATAAACATTTTTAACCCTTCTGTATAAACTATTAGACATTTAAAAAATTTCACACTAGGGGTGTGTTTGGTACGACGGAAAATATTTTCAATTTTTTCATATTTGGTTGGATTAAGAGCACGTTTGGACATAAGAAATTTTTTCTTTTTTTTCCAAATTTTTTTTACTTTTTGCCGAAATTAGTATTTGTTCATAAAATTTTCAATTTTCACTTGGAGATGCATTTTGGAAATTTTTGAAAAACTCCAAAAAATCGTTTTTCAAAATTTTCACTCAAATCTGTTAAATAATGTAAAAAGCAGAAGAATATTATTTCCATTGTTAGTTAGACTAAACTCCTATATATGTAATCCAGCTCTCTTACGATACACAATGAATCAGAATATCATTCTTTATTCTCTGTTATCTCTATCATCTTCATCTCAATCTCTATCATCTTTCCCTCAATAACTTCATGGTATCAGAGCTTCTTAGCTCTTGAAGTCAAGCCTCGATTCTGTTCCGTCATCTCTTTTCCTCTATTCTGTTTCTCTGCAATTTTCAATTTCATTTCTTCTCAATTCTCAGATTCTGATTTTTCTCTTAAATCAAGAGTTTGTATTTCACATCTGCAATTTATAGTCTTGAATTGAAAGTTTCAAAAACGAGTAAAATAAGAATCAACAGAAGGAAAAATGGGAACAATTGATGATCAAGTGAATTTGGATACGGGAAATCAAAATCGAACTGCAACTGGAAATCATGTGTCTGGGATTGATTATAATCACCCATTGTTTCTTTCTCCTGCTGATGTAAGTGAAATCCAAATTATTTCATTTCAACTTACAGGTATTGAGAATTATTCTATTTGGAATCGCTCTATGTGTGTTGCTCTTTTAGGAAGAAACAAGTTAGGTATGGTAGATGGCACATGCCGTAAAGAAAAATTCCCAGATTCAATGGAAAATCATTGGGAAAGAGTAAATGCCATTGTGTTGTCGTGGCTGATGAACTCAGTAGCTAAAGGTCTTCTTGGAGGCATTATGTATGCCTCAAGTGCACAAACTGTGTGGGAAGACTTGTCAGAAAGATTTAACAAGATAGATGGATCAAGAACATTTAATTTGCATAAAGAAATAGCCGCTCTATCTCAATGTTCTGCATCTGTATCTGTATATTTTTCTAAACTAAAGGATCTTTGGGAAGAATTTGAGGCCTTGATTCCCTCCCCTGGCTGTGACTGTCCTAAGTCAAGAGAGTTTGTTAGTTACTTACAAAAATTAAGACTATATCAATTTTTTATGGGACTTAATGAGTCTTACTCTCAAGCAAGAAGCCAAATCTTAATGAAAACACCTCTACCTACTGTTAATCAAGCATATGCATTGGTGGTAAGTGATGAAAGCCAAAGATCCATATCTGCAAATTCTGGTATTTTAGGGGCTAATCCAGTTGGAAACCTTGGCATTGCCATGTATACTAGAGCTGGTGGGGGTGGACAGAATCACAGACTAAAAAGGAACTTCAATGTACATGTTCAATTCTATGATTACTGCAAAATGAAAGGTCATATCAAAGATAACTGCTATAAATTAGTGGATATCCACAGGATTTTAGGCAGAAAAAGAAGGGATATAATGCAGCTCACAATGCTAATATTGCTAATGTCTTAGCTGAAAACAACAATTTAAATATTCTCAATTTGGTCAGATTTCAAATGGTTGTTCAAATGATAAGTCTGCTAATGAAAGGCAGTATGATCAGTTGGCAAACTACAGTCAGGGAATGGAAGCTATTACAAACCAGTTGGGAAATTTTGCCTTCACAAAGGAGCAATATGATCAGATTGTTCAATTGCTCAAAGGGACTTCAACAACTACTACTAATATGGACTCAGCAGCTAATGCAACAGGTACTGACAAAGCTTTTTTGGTTTCAAATGGTTCTCAGGAATGGATTATAGACACTGGTGCTACAAATCATATGGTATCTGATTCTAACCTTCTCAACAAGTCTACAACAGTACAGACTATTAATTCTAAGAAAGTTCTGTTGAAGTTTGGCAAAATGCCAAAGTCCCACATTGGTTGGGAGTTAAGTTTGGGGGGATTTTTCCACTATAAAAGAAGGCCTAATGTTTAGGATTGAAACACACCTCTCATTTGCCTTCTCATCTGTTTAAGGCATTTGTATCTTTTCTCTTTAGTATTATTTCACTTGTATTTTTGGAGTGAAATAAAATATTGGTTGTGTCCGAGGAGTAGGCAAAATTAGCCGAACCTCGTAAATTCTGGTGTTCCCTTTATTGTTGCTTTATTGTCTTATTTATTATTTGGTGGCTGTCATAATTTTTGGTATAGTAGTTGTGACTTATTCACACTATATACATTTGGCTTCCGCAACAATTGGTATCAGAGCCAAGGTACTGTCTAAGTATGCTCTGTGGTTGCAGCATAGTCTGATCTTCCACATCAGAAAAGATTTATCTTGGTAACTGAGTCAAGGTTCTGTCTGAGTATGCTCTGTGGTTGCAGCTTAGTCTGATCTTCCACACCAGAAAGGAAATAATCTTGATTTGTGTCGTCAGCTATTAAATAATATTTGTGTCAAAGATGGGAGACAATAAACAAGAAGAATCTACATCAAGTGTCAACAATACGTCATCATTGGCATCTTCGCTTATGACAAGAATTGTGTCAAATGCGAAATTTGCGGTAGAAATATTTGACGGGTCCGGACATTTTGGGATGTGGCAAGGCGAGGTTCTAGATGTCCTTTTTCAACAAGGGCTAGATCTGGCCATTGAAGAAAAGAAACCAGATGTTATTGGAGAAGAAGATTGGAGAATTATCAACCGTGTTGCTTGCGGTACCATTCGATCCTACCTTGCTAGAGAGCAGAAATATCCATACACAAAGGAAACTTCTGCAAGTAAATTATGGAAAGCACTGGAGGATAAATTTTTGAAGAAAAACAGTCAAAATAAATTGTACATGAAGAAGAGACTGTTTCACTTCACCTATGTTCCTGGTACCACGATGAATGAACATATCACCAGTTTCAATAAGTTGGTCACAGATTTGCAAAATATGGATACAACTTATGATGATGGTGACTTGGCCTTAATGTTGTTGGCGTCACTTCCTGATGAGTACGAGCACCTTGAAACTACTCTACTCCATGGAAATGACGAAATTTCTCTCAGAGAAGTTTGTTCGGCTTTGTACAGCTATGAACAAAGAAAGCGAGAAAAACAGAAGGGCGGAGAAGGAGAAGCACTATTTGTGAGGGGTCGTCCTCAAAATCAAACGAGGACAAAGAAGGGAAGATCCAAGTCAAGATCCAGACCCAGCAAAGATGAATGTGCCTTTTGTCGAGAAAAAGGGCACTGGAAGAAAGACTGTCCGAAGTTGAAGAATAAGGCCAAACATAACAATGGAAAGGCCATTATGGATTCAAATGTAGCTGATTGTGATGATTCAGACTTCTCATTAGTTACAACAGAGTCATCAACATCATCAGACATATGGTTGATGGACTCGGCTTGTAGCTATCATATGTGTCCCAACAGGGACTGGTTCGTGGAATTTCAAGAAGGAGAATATGGAGTCATCCACACAGCGGATAACAGCCCTCTTACCTCATATGGCATTGGTTCAATACGATTAAGGAACCATGATGGAATGATCAGAACATTGATAGATGTTCGATATGTACCGGATTTGAAGAAGAATCTCATCTCTGTGGGAGCCCTAGAATCAAAAGGGTTCAAAATCATTGCAGAAAATGGAGTGATGAGAGTATGCTCCGGTGCACTAGTGGTAATGAAGGCTAATCGGAAGAATAATAATATGTACCGCTATCGTGGCAGTACAGTTATTGGGACAGCGACAGTAACATCCAGTGACGACAAAGAGGCAGAAGCAACCAAGCTATGGCACATGCGCTTGGGACATGCTGGAGGAAAATCCTTGAAAACTCTATCAGATCAAGGATTGTTAAAAGGAGTAAAGGCTTGCAACTTGGAGTTTTGTGAGCATTGTGTTAAAGGGAAACAGACAAGGGTTAAATTTGGTACAGCGATCCATAATACTAAAGGCATTTTGGATTATGTACACTCTGATGTTTGGGGTCCTTCCAAAACACCTTCAT